CAGCCGCGGCCTGGAGGGAGGGGCGTGACGACGCCGGCGCGCGTGGTCCGGGGGCGTCAGGGCCGCAGGAGACCGGGAGGGTCTCTGGGATGGAGCGACCCCAGTAGGCCCGGAGCTTTGGGGACCTTTGCCGGGAAAGGGCGGGGTGGCGGTGATCTGCGGCTGGAGCTGTGGTTGATCCTGCATGGCGTGCGGAGCGAGTTGGTGGTGCGCGGTCTACTGGCTTGGCCTTTCTTGGAAGAAGAGCGTGACAAGCGGTGGGGGCCTTCCTCGTCGGGGGAGGGGGAAGGAACAGTAATACTCGTCTCCCCTGACGCTAGTTTAAATGTCAGATGACTTGTCAGGGAAAGCCAAAGGGTTAGTGCCTCTTCATCACATGCAGAAAAGTGGAGAAAGAGGTATTTGTAGGGGAAGGAAGAGGAGGAGAAAGGGTGGTGAAATAACACTTATTATTGGCTATAGACAGGTGGTTATGTTTGTTTCTATTATTGACTGTGCAGAGAAGACGGGGGGGGGGGGGGGGGGGGGGGGGGGGAGGCAGTTCTTTATGGAATGTTGGCCTTTCATAAAATCTAGGAAATTAATAGTTGCAGTTAAGTCTACAAGTTTAAAATATTGCTAGATCAATATTTCTTTCCACATAGATGGCAAAGTAACACTGGCCCACATATGTCTGAATATGTCCTATGAGTCTATTTAATTCAAAGTAACTCATATATTTTTCTCCAGGATGGCCGGGCTGATGTGGTTGCAAATGATGCGGGTGACAGAGTTACTCCAGCTGTTGTTGCCTACTCAGAAAATGAAGAGGTACTATTCCCCCTCACATTTTTGCTTTGAAATAAGTGAAAATTACATGCATTGTAATATATTGCTCTTTTTCAGGTTGTTGGATTGGCAGCAAAACAAAGTAGAATAAGAAATATTTCCAATACAGTCATGAAAGTAAAGCAGATCCTTGGCAGAAGGTATGGAATAAAATATCACTTCAACATATAGGTAATAAAAATGTGTATACATTCTAAGCGTAATGTGGAATGAAACTAGAAACACCATTTGTTTCTTCTGGAGTTTGTTTTTTTCCAGTTTTTTCTGACTGAATTATTTCAGAGAGTACTTCAGCAGCCAGTTTCTTTTGATGATTAGTGTCAAATCTTCTCAAAGATGAGTTTCACTCAGATGTTTATTTCTTGCTGACAGGTCTGTTTGTATTGATAAATACCAACATTCCTTTCATTTTGATAGTTTGTGTCATTCAGAGGTGGCAATTTGGATTTTTTATATTTCAGTACTTTTTTAACTGAGAGAACTTGAAAGATTTTGGGGGGAATTTGATGACTTCTTTGCACTGTGGTTGATTTTTGCAAAATCTATTACATTTGGTTATAATTTATGTAGATGCTATCGGTTTTCTTTGGGTCCTTTTGTGACACTTTCTGGGAACTAACTTTTCCAGTGGCTTACAAATTTAATCATTAGAGAAACAGTTTAATTAGCATCTTACACAAGAATCAGGTTAATCATCTGTTACAGCTTTAATTAAAAGATTAAAGAGTCTTGCTTCCCCAGACTCATGTCTCCTCAAATTATAGATTATCATAATACTTAGGGGGTTTCATTTTCACTGTAGTAGTAATACTTGAAATAGTGTTTTTAAGTTTTCAGAGTGCTTTCACATCTATTATTTTATTTAATCCTCTCAAGTCCCTATAAGATTAGTAGGGCAGGTTTTATCTCTTCCCATTTATAGATGAGAAAAATCAAGGCAAATAGAAGTTATGTTATTCCTAAATTAGTAAGGGAGGTGAACTAGATAGGACTACAATTCAGGACTTATAAATTGGGCCCAGGTTGTTTCCTTTGTGTTCTGTTGAGAATTTAAATAGAAATTTTTATATGTTGATTTATTTTTTTATACATACAGATTCTTTTTATTATCCTTTACTTGTGTGTAGTTAAATTGAACTTTACTTTTTCCCCTTTTTAGGATATCTATGCACTAAGTCAGAAACTACAGTATTTTATAGAGAATTCAAATTTTTGTGGTGATGATGATGATAAATTAGGTGGTTTCAAAGATGTACAAATTGTAAGTTCTGAAAAACAAGGAGTTATAGATGGATCTTGAAGCTAGATTCACTGTATGCAGCCAGCTATGTTATTTTAATTGAACTTTAATATTTTGAGTACTTGTACATAGTGTTGTAAGAAATAATACAAAGAGATGCTGTATTTTACTGGATTTACCACTTTCTCCCAATAATAACATCTTGCAAAATTATAGTATCACAACCAGATACTGACATTGATATAATCAAGATTTAGAATATGTCCACAGATCTATTCCCTAGTAGTCCTATTTATTTTATGCTGCTGTTTTGGGGCAGACAGTTGGAGTAAAGATGTGGTTGTCTTTTGCTATATTATGCAAAAAGCTTTGTATTAACAAGAATAACTTAAGCTTACTTTTCTGGCCCTGAAAGTTATCCTTTAACGAAGGAGTGCAATGGTGACAGTCAGATGGGTAATACGTAGCCACAGTATGCTGCTTGCAGCAAGGTTAGTGAAGGATGAGCACCCTTCAGACAAACTGCTACACCACCGTCCTGCTAGCTGCCTCATGCTCAGGGATTTCCCACTTCGTCTCTCTACTTAGAAGACAATGGGTGATTTTTATAGACACACAGGTATCTCAGGTTTCGGCCTTGGAAGCATTCTGGCCTTCATGGAGGAGCCAGAGCCAGTCCCCTTGTTATCAAGTCAGTAAGGCCCTTTTTAGCCCCTGGGGCAGTGTCTATCCTGGATGAACTCCCAAAGTTGGGCTTTTTCAGTCTTGGCATCCTACCTGTTTGTGACCTACTTACAGGTAGCACAGCTTAACTTGCTGCCACAATTATCCTTACACCCTTCCTGTAACTCTCATTCCCCTGTGGCCTTCCAGCCAGAAATTTGGTCCTTGGATCTGGCTTCTCAGCAATTAGTCCTGAGAGGGAAGAATCCGTTGGCTCCTGGAAATAAACTGAAAGCACCCAGAGTTTCCCCACACCTTCAGATTTGCACCTTGCTGTCCAGGAGCTTTCTTCAGCTAGCCTTCCTTCCCAGTCCACTATGGCCAATTCCAATAGCAGTGCGGGCATCCGGTGGTCCAGACAGGAGACGCGAACTCTTCTCTCCATACTAGGCGAGGCAGAATACATTCAACGCCTCCAGACTGTGCATCATAATGCAGATGTCTATCAGGCTGTGTCTAAGCGAATGCAGCAGGAAGGCTTCCGCCGCACCGATCGTCAGTGCCGCTCCAAGTTTAAAGTTCTGAAGGCATTATATTTAAAGGCATATGTTGCCCATGCCACAAGTATGGGTGACCCACCACACTGTCCATTTTATGAGACCTTGGATCAGCTTCTCCGAAATCAGGTAGTGACTGACCCAGACAACTTAATGGAGGATACTGCTTGGGCCAAGCACTACACTCAGAACTTAATGGCCTCTGACAACCCAGGGGAAGAGGGAACCGGCATTCTGAAACCAAAAAGGACTCAGGCAGCAGATCATCAGCCTATCTCGAAAACAGTTAAGGAATCAGATGAGGATTGTCAACTGAGAATCACTGACCAGATGCAAGAAACCAGTGACCTTGAGGACTCCTGGGATGAATCCTCAGGTGCAGGTAATTTCCAAACATGTAAAGGATTGGGTCCCAGAGTCACTTGGTTCTAAACAACAGTATATGATTGGATGGTGTGTGTTGTTTGTTTTTTTTAACATAATCCCTGTTTTTGCCCCTGCCCTCTTTTTTAAAAACCTAATTATAAGATAAGGGGCTCCAGGTATTTAAAAGCTATGACCCTAGGTATGTAAGGTATAGAACTCTTTAAATGTAGAAGTGCTCTTTAGAACCAAACTATTTTGGCAATATTTCTAATGGGCATTTGTGGATATAAAGTGGGTTGGATAGCTAAGTGGAAAGGGGCTCAATAAGATAAAGGGAAGGTTTTGGAAATAATAGGCTAAAATGGCCAGACCAAAGAACTGAATTCTTCCCAGTCCCTTGTGGAAAGAGGATTTTCCAGGATCCACCACAGTTTTGTAATTGTCTCTCAGCTCTGCTGCTGGCTCCATGCATTCCCTTAGCAGGAGCTTTTGTTTTTCAGGTGCTCTCAAGGGACCCCCAGCTACAACAGTTCCCACCACCTTTTCAGAGGTGCAGTTGCTCCCTGTCAGAGCAGCCCCATGACCAGACTGGGTGTGTCCGGTGAGCCCAGTCCCTGCACCAGCACGGGCCGAAACACTCCTGGGGTGGCCTTCACACAGCAGCCTCCAATCTCCTCCGGAGTTCCTTTTTCTGGTGGGGATAGGCCTTTGACCAGTGAGCCCCCTCCAAGGTGGGCAAGACGAAGAAGGCGGTCAGTGGCCAGGACTATTGCAGCTGAATTGGCAGAAAACAGGAGATTGGCACGAGAAC